CCCCCCCCCCCCCCCCCCCGCTTTCTGACATGATGCTTCCCCCTCAGAACAAGTTGAGCAGCCGATGGACAATGCTTTGTAGCACATCTTGATTGAATCTAAGCAATCGTGCTGGAGACTCAAAGAAGACTCTCAACATCGACCTGCCGAGTCTCCCTGAAAAAGTGGATGCTCTGCGGCGCCTCCGGATGCTCGCGCACGCGGGCCTGAAGTGTGCGTCTCAGCTGACCACGAAAAGGCCGAAGGGCTTAGCCAGCAATATCTCAGAATGATGCGCGAGTTTCCATACGAGTTTCCATGCCCAGGCACATAGGCGAGTGGGTGAAAGACATCTGGGCGATCTGTCTCGTTGTGGCCGAACCTGCCCGCAAGCACTCTGAATGTCTCTGTGTGCAAGCCCTGGTCCTTGGCCTCCGATAGCCCACAAGATCCTCGGGAATCGGTGAACAAAAACACCCTGCGGCTTCGAAGACGAGTCCCTGTAACTGCCGAAGATCCGGGGGTTCGCTCTCCGGTGTCAAACTGCAAAAAAAGCAAGCCGCTCAAGCCCACGCGCGCGAAAAGCCAGGAGAATGCAAAATTGCGAGAAAGAATGTCTCAGCGAGAACCGGGGGTCGCCTCAGCAGGGCTGAAGCCCTGCGAAGGTTCTGGGAAGCCAGGAACAAGTCCGAGGGGCAATGACAACATCGCGCTGGAAGTCCGCCCGCCACTCGGCAGCCAAGCCAAACCTCAAAAGGCTTTTCGACGTTTTAGGCTGAATGAACTCTTCGGCCCCGGGGGCCCCAGCTGCCCAAAGCCACCAAGGCGGGCGCGCGCGGTCCGCAGCTTCGACGTCGTCCGCGTTGACGTGGATGATCGGGAGATCCAAAGCCTGGGAGACTGCTCCCAAGAACGCAGGCCCTAATTTCAGATGAAAGTTAATTCTCACCTTGTCGCCGGTCCTTCCACCATGGTAGGCAGGGACAGACCCCGATCCTGGAGACACTCGTCGTCTTCCGAAGATGGGATCGTCACTGCCAGCAGTCGCTGGGGTTAGACGTGATGGTGTCACTCGCGCAAATTTTCGCCATGATCGGGGCAACGACGCTTCTCAAACATCGCAGCAGTAGTTGCCATGTAATTGTGATATGCATGATTGTCTTTGTCTTCGTGTGGCACGGTTCGCCTGGGCACTCACCACCACCTGTACTGTAGTAACAATCACACAATCAAGATGACAATGCTTGCAGCAAGTAGCCGCAATCCTCTGGTCAGCAACCAGGATGTGTGTGTGTGTGTACATGGGAACTCGACGGCAGTTACAGCCGAGACTACAGCTTGTGCTTGGCTGCATGCTGGGGCAAACACAACATGTGGTCCTTAAGCTTGGAGAGAGGGCCGGTTTTCCTGCCTGCCTCAACCAGTCGCGAACACTACGACCACCACCCGACCGGGCAGAGGAGAAGAGGAAACCGAACCCACACGAGATCAAAGGCACAACAGGGAGACGGCTCAGGCCCGATCATACTCGAGTCGTTTCCCCAAGTGAAGGCAGGTTCTTTGAAGTTCAGGTTGATCTTCTCGAAACTCACATGCGAGGCAGCAAGAATTGGAAGGGACATGCAGGGATGATCTTACGCGGATAATTGCATACTCACCTCCGTCTTAATCAAAAATGCCAAGCAACCTTCGCGACGTCACTCGGGTGAGCTGCGGATCGCCCCTTGGCAATGCTCAGAAAAGGTTTGCACAGTGGTGCAGACTGCGGAACGCCCAACTTTTCGAGACGGCCTCGTTTGGTGTCGTCGTGTAGCCCACCTGGTTGTTGAGGACCTGGACTGTGCAGGCGAAACGGGCGGCGCACAAGCACCGAAACAGTGAAACGAGCTACTATTCAAGCGGAAGAGCAAGCTTTTTGTGCGGGGTTGTTTACTGTCACGTTCCGTGAAGAACACTTGGTTGATCGGAAATATCACAACTTGGTCTGGTCGCCACATGGACGGTGCCGCCGGTGCCGTAGCCAGGCAATTCCGAGAACCTCGGTGCACTCGCCATGGGGCAGCCGCAGTCCGCGGCTAACTTATCTGCACTACAAAGAAGTGCCAATCTTCCCGAGGCTCACGAGGCTACTCACGCGGAGGAAACGACCAAAAGAGCTGGATAAGCCAATCCGTTTGAAGTTTGTTCCGCTCTGCTCTCCGGTGCTTGCCGGGGCCGGGCCACTGGAGTGCCTCGAAGGCCATGCCGCTGCCGGCGAAGGCGGCGTCGCCGTGCAAAACGATCCTTGGAAAGGAAGGAAGGCCCATTATGCCCTATAGAGCTAGAAAGTGGACATTCCCGGCCGTACGGAATTTCACTGAGCCGGAGGAGTTCTTGTCGTCGTCAAGCACGCAAGGCCCTCGCGTGCCCAAATTGGAGCGTGCTGTGCCTTAGAACTTCTGAGATGTGGGCAGACGTCGAACGCTGGCACCACACCGTCGCTTCTTGTTACTCGGGAAGCGCACGTTCACGAGGTTGCCACGATCAGCCGCACCAACGCTCGCTTTCATGTGCATTCATGGATGTTACGAGCACTGAATGCAGCACCTCAACCTCTCTCAAAGTGCCTTCTGCCATGGACACAAGCCGCCCTTCACGAGCGTATACCCGAGACCCCCCAAAAGAACCACTCGGAGCTTTTGCTAAAAGCGCCCTTCTCGATACCAGAGGCTTCGACTCTCAGGCCCCTCAGCTGATCAAATCTCCTCAAAAGCCCAGCTTCCCCATGACACTCTGCAGGCCGCGATCCTCAGCAAGGTCCTGGACGCCAGTGGCAAGGACTCTCCGTCGTGGCTACCACAAACAGAAAGACCCAAGGACTTGGGATCGTGCGCACCGACACAGCAAAAACCGCCCCCCCAAACCCCAAATGGGGAAAAAAACAAACACACCGAGATATTATGTTCGCGGGGTCGGTTTTGACATGTCGGCGCGGCTTTTGGCATGTCGGCGGGTCCTTTTTCACTTGAAAATCACTTTCAAACTCGTCTACCCACTGCCTCTGGGTCATTCCTCCTGAATTCCTTTAGGTTCCTCATAGTCATGTTTGTGCTCGGCGTGTAGTTTGTCCATGTCGGCGGACATCTAGCTTTTACATCGCGGGGCGTTTGTGACATGTCGGCAACGAGTACATCCACTATCGTCTACTGATGTCTATATGGTCACTCTCGGGAGCCGGGGCCTGGAGCGCCCTGACCTTGCCGAGCACCACGGGCGTCACCATCTCCAAGTGGCTGGGGTTCGGCGCGATGGTCACGACCTGTCAGTTCAGTCCCTTTGCTCTCTCTGCGAGCCTCTTGGGACCAAAGTGCTGTCCCAAAGCGCCGGCGAGCGCACGCTCTCGCCGAGGTGGTCGCCGTCGGTTGCTCCGAAACGCTCGTGCCACCAGGCCTGAGCGGGAGGTTGAAGGGTTGCTGACAGCCTCGCAGCCTCGCGTGCCTTGCTCTCAGCACGGAAATGTGATCTGCTTGAGCCCTGCTAAGCAGAAGAGCCCGAAGAGCCCGCTCCGGCCTTGCCCACCCCCCTTTCTTCGGGAAAACTTCCTCAAGCCAGCATGGTGCCTCGAGAGTCGGGAGCTCGCCCACGTAACCGGTGTGGTACTTCCTGGGTCTACAGCCGGCCGGCGCACACAAAAAACCTTCCTTGGCTCACTGCATACAACAGCCGAGGGTGGCACACATCTCCCACGTGGAAATCACTGTGATCCTAGCAAATGTCAGCACGAAACAGGCCACAAGCGCGAGTATGTCCGGGCAGGTTCAGAGCATGCCGGCCCTCTACACAGCTTCTGGGCTTGGGGTCCGGATCGGTTCTACAAGTGCAAGGCTGCGGTTTCAGTGGGCGGGATGTCCCAGCCTGTCCTCGCGCATCTCGCAGCAGATTTGGCTCAACTCTTTGCCTTAGCTGCGACGAGCACCCGAGCTCGCTCACGGAGCTGCAGGCTGCACGGGTAGGAGGTGGATCAGGACGATGCGGGGATGGAAACACACGAAAAGGATCGTGCCTGGTCAGAGCACTGTATCGGCTCAGGTGTTGACTGGATGAAGTTCTCACACTGACCGTGTGGGGGATCATGGTGCGCGAGCCGATTCGTGGGGGCCGGTCTCCGAGCAGGGGGGAGGCTCAGGGAGTCGGGGATCCGATTGGTGCCTTCCCTTGATCCGATTGGCTGATCCGATTCGGGGCGGCTGATTCGCACCAGGGACTTTCTGACACCTGCAGCTTCCGGCTGCACGATACCACGCTCCCAAGCGCAAAGAGCGAGAACCCCCCGTGGTGTCGACTGATGAATGACTCAAGGGTCTATGGGTCCCTTGTTGTCCAGAGTCTCGCAGTGAAACTGACTGCAACGCGAGCCCGATGCACTTGGTCTGTCGCTTGGCTTACTGGCGAGTCTTATGCACCCACGGACGTTTCTGAACGAAGTCTCGTTGCCAAGGATGTTCGCGAGGATGTTCAAACGTCCTCGGCGCACATGGCTTTCGACTGCTTGGGAATGTGTGTTCATCCGTCCAGTTTGCAAGGGTGCATCACGACAGCAGCGAAGCAGGGACTGCCTTGAGTTCTGCCGTCTTCAATGACTTCCGGCACAGAGCTCGAAAGCAAAGTTGCTTTCTGAAGCTTTGAAAACCAACTCCATTCTGAAATGTCCTGTGCTGCTTTCATCGGCTTCTGCAACAACATCATCTGACAAGGCTTGCTCTGTAGGGCCAGCTGGCCTCGATGCGGCATGCCCATCTCAATCTGCTCCACCCCGCGGGCGGCAGAGCCTGGCTTCGCGGCCTACCACCGCGTGACACCAAATCCTCTGACAGGTGCGAGTGGCGGTAGCAAAGGCGGAAAAGGCCGGGCAGTAACACCTGGCATGGGGGAGAGGTGCAGTGAAGGACGCACTTCTCAAGTGTTGCCGCAGAGTGAAAGTACGCTTGAATCCGACTTTGGCACCTGTTTGGCCCCTAGCTTCGTGTGCAGCAGGCGGTGCAAAACTGCGAGTTTCATAGCGGCTCTCAAATGGAGCTCTTTCTTTGGCCCCATCTTGCCACATAATATACAGCTTGCAGAGAGAGCCCGCCCCGACCCGCCCCGACTTTCCGCGCCTCGCTGCCATCGAGGCCAAACCATTTCCTCATCGGAGAGAGAGACGGCTTTCGATCATTCTCTAAGGGACTCTTAATTTATATAGGGCTCTATATAATTATTATTTAGGGCTTATATGCAACATAAAGGTATAGAGCCAAAAAAGAAGATGCAAGCAAGCAATGCCAAAAGCAAGCAGGCGGTGGTGCTCTCTGTCGAAGGTCCCCTGCTCTCTCTCGGGGGGGAATGGAGCCGAAGCCGAGCGGCGTGGCCGGGAACTTCGAGCGGAGGAACTGCGTCAAAAGCGTGGCGCGGAGCAGCCTCCGCCCGTGCGCTCAGAAAGGAGAGCTTCCGGCCAACAACTCAAGCAAGACTTTTGAGCTATAAGGAACTCTATGTATGAACTCTACTACTGACCGTCTCAGCTTCATAAATCCAGCGATTCTTTGTCCGCTTCCCCCCCCCCTCCCCCCCTTGCCTCGCAAGCAGGGCCCGCCTCGAAGCGAAGGCTTTCCGGATTGCTGCTGCGTCCCGGCTACAGGAAGAGACTCTCCAGGCTTCGGCAAATTTTTCGCCTCAGTCGCCTCGTTCCGCCTCGCGCCCCCTTCATTGGGACCCCCGGCCCCGGCGCCCCAAGAAACGCTGGGGCCTTCTCCACGCTGGTGGCGGAGGCCGCGGCGTCTCGGCGGCGCAGTGCCACCACCTCTGCAGGGGCAGAAAGGGCGGGCTCGACGGTGATCCCCCGGGTTTCGGAGAGTCCCCGTGCCTTCTCTGCTCCATGTCTGGCAAATGATTCACCTGCTGCTGCAACACCACAGCGAGCGTGGCCAGCTGGTGCCAGTCTGTTAACATGACTGCTTTTGATGTGTGAGTCGGTGGTTCTGATTTTGATGATGGTTTGGGATGTGAGGGCGGCGGCGCCACTCTGTCGTGCCAACAAGCTGGAGAACTGCGGCTCATGCCACAGGCAGGCGAACTGAGCTATGGGCTTGGAGTCTCTAAGTCTTTGGGGCAGCTTTCGACTACCGCAACCATCGAACAGACATGATATACTGATATATACTGACATACTCTTTCCGATCCTCAAATATGCTTCAAAACCTCGCTCAAGATTCTGACTGACCTGCGCACACTGGTAGGCGCTTCATTCGGTATCGGATAAGCGGAGAGCGCACGTGCAGTAAGATTTTGGGCTCTGGGTTTCGTCTTCCGGGTGTTACAGCCAATTTTTTTGCAAGATCTTTGTAGCCCCCTCGGTCCCACGGTGCCTCAAAGCTGAGATGTCCGCAGTAGGCATCCTGTGCGCTGGAGTGTTCCGTTCTCACTCGGACGAAGGAAGGGTTCAGGGCACAGCAGTCCGGCTAAAAACGGCTCTCCTGCGGTAGCAACCTTGCAACGTGTGCGAAGTGTGCTAGACTCCCTATGAAACCAAGGAGTCCACTCGAGCTCTCCCAAAAGCTGCCTGACTAGCTCTTCAGGGGATCACTTCAGAGGCTGCCTCGAGGACGTGCAGAAGCTCCTCGCGAGTCCACCAGGGGCCACCTTCCTGTCCAGGAGGCTTTGACCGACAGTGTTTTCTTGCCTCCGCACTCACGGTGAACCCAGCTCTAAGCCAAAATGACACATCAAAATCTCTCCACCTTCTCAACTGGGAGCAACTTGAAAGAAACCCCGCAAAGTTTCACCCAGCGGCGGCGTGAAGCAAGGCCCTCGGCACGAAGAGATGCCGCGGTGGCGTGGAAGGGGTCGAGGGCACGGACCCTGCAAGCCTTGGAGACTCAAGGACAGCCCCTCGGAGTCCCGTCCCGCAGCGTCCACTGCCCGCAAAATCTCAAACCACTTCCTGCCCTTCAAGACCAAACCTCCCCCGCTCCGGCCCAGTGGCGGATGCCGCTCCATCACATGGCCCTGTTCCTTCTCGAGATCGGGAGTTCATGAGAGTTCATGTTGAGAAAGTTACCGGAACGTAGCGTGGACTTTAGGCTCGGCTTCCTGTCGCCTCCTTCAAGCTTCCGTCGGCAGAGTGGGAAGCTGGGGCTTCGAGGCGGAATGGAGCACAGAGAGCTACAGGTACTTTTGCAGCTCAGCCCAGGCCGCAAAATAAGGACACAGATACGATGTCCTCAGATGTAAGAATGCAAGCCACCAGTGTTCTAGATCAAGTCGCACCGGTGAGGTCACAATTCCAAGCTTCAATCTATCTGTGGGAGCAGGAGTGGAAAGGATTGCTGAAGTGCAGGTGGAGGAAGACAAGTGAAGACGCTGGCGTGACATATCGGACTATGTAACGGCCTCGCGCCACCAGTCCGGGCTGCGTGCCAGGGACCCGCGGCAACGGCCAAGGGGGTCCTGCTTCTGCTGGGAGCGCTGCACGATTTCCGGTCGACTTTCGCTAGGTTGGAGGCACCCCAGTTTGGTACCGGTTTGCCAGACTGAGTGGGTCTCGCAGTTTCCGGCTCTTTTTTGGGGATAATCATTGCGCAGTTGCATGGGCGTCCAGCTTTTGATCTTCGTGGTCTCTTTGGGCTGCATCTTGTCGAACCTCAGAACCTTTACTTTCGACTTCTGCATCGGTTGCTCAGCGGCTTAGCGAACAGCTCAAGTCTCAGGGACAGGGTACGAGCCAAGAATTCTCAGGGTTGGTTCTCCGTAGGGCTGGGGCGGCTTGCACACGCTGCCCGAAACCAACTAAGTGCCCGTGAATCTCAGTAATTCTAGAGCCGGGAACACGGGGCCGGGGTCCAGCTTGGCCCACAAATGGCCCACTTCGCGAAAGCGCTGCACCCACCTTTGCTTGTGGAGGGTCAGGGTCAGGGCATGACCTGGAACGGAAAGTGTCTTTCGGATGAGAGAATAGTCCCCGAGCTAGTTTCTGACTGTGACCTCTGCACCCTGCACCTCAACGGAGCCCATATCGCCACCTTTTTTCTGCATGTTCACTCCCCGCGTAGTTCCTTCGGAGCCGGTTTGCCGGCCTTAAGTCTCAAAATAACCTGCGAAAGACAAGTCCTTGGGCAGAGCGGGCTCTGCAGCGTTCTCAAAAAGCTCAAGGGGCCACTGCTGCCCCTTCCGTTTCCATAATGACCTGACCTTGACCTACCAATACTAAAGTCTTTTAGACTTTCAAGAGATGCATCACCACATCGTAACAGCATGTAACAGCCGTAAATGTCGCCGGCCCTCTGTACTCCCTCTGCAGCGGCCAGTGCCGGGCGCAGCGCAGCGCGGGGCATCGCGAACCTCGTATGTCTTCTAGGGGAACAGCCTTTGCGCACTCCCCCTCGTTGCTCAATTACATAGCGATCGAAGGTTCAGATACCCTCAGGCCGGAATGAAGCTCTTCGCCTCAACCCGAAGCTCGCACGCCCTCTTAAGCCCTCCGGCCCCTGCCGCCGAGGGCAGGACCATCTGCGTCGGCAGCCGGATCGCGGCCGCACACAACAAAGTGCCCGGGCAAGGGCAAAATGTTTTTACGATGGTTCCAATGGCTCAACGAGCCCATGCCATTCAAACGCGTTCAAGAGATTTGATCGCAGCTGCATGTCCCATCATGCCGCGCAGACCTCCACCATGCAATGTGACTCTCAACACACGCATTTGAGAAGGGATACTGGCCTAAACTCAAAAGCTGGGTCAAGCCAAATGCACCAAGAAGTACGGAGTGCTACTCAGCTGCTCAAGCTCCAAGCTGTCGCGACCTCCTTGTATTTTGTACAGTGATTTTGTACTGACGACCGTTCTACGATCTCTCTCACGCACGTGCTGTGCTGGTGCTGCGCCCCGACACCCCGCGAATGGCTGTGGGCATCGCGTTCAGCAGCGAACTAGCCGGGCCAAGGCTTAGCGAGACAACCCCACGAGAAAACGGCAGGATCCGGTCGGATCTTCACTGCAAGGCCGTCAGCTTGTCAGCTGCAGTTTCCACTTGCGCCTGCACGCGAAAATCTTGCGGGTTCATGCCAAGCCTATCTATGAGACAGCTTTGGCAACGCAGGCGCAGATTCTTGCCGGCGCACCCCTAACTCGTAAGAAAGCTATACGCTATGCTTACTTGCAAGCTGTGTGCTATTGCTTGCGGGCCCAGGAGTCCTTTTGTCAGCACACTGCACACTTGACGATTCAGACTATAGCGCTCCTGGCAATCTCATGCAGCGGCGACTGGACGACGGGCATGCGCCAACCTCCAACCCAAATTTCCCCAGTCCCTGCCCAGCCTCGCTGGCTCCGCTTCCGGACCAGGAAGCCACGAGCAGGAGTTGCGAGCCCTGTCGCGTTCGGGACATGTAAAGGGACTCAGGATGATCCTTTTGGTGCGGGGTACATGTGGGGTCCGGGTGACGGGTTTTTTAGAGGACGTGCAGAGGCCTGCGGCAGGGCGCTGAAGCGCTCCTCCGACACGGCATGGAGCTCCTGTGCAGCAGAGTGAAACGTCTGTGGGGTCTCGAGGCGCTGTTTTTGCAACGGGCTCTCAGCTTTTCTCTCAGAGACTTCGCGGGCTTTTTGTTGGCTGATTCTTCGATGGGGGCCACTCCGTCGGCCCGAAGACAGGAGGAGGAGGGGCCGTGGCGCTCTGCTACGCTGCGCTGTCTCCCTCTGTGCCCGCCTGGGAAGATGACACAGCGAAGCTGGAGACCAGGAAGCCTTGTCGCCGCATCTCGCACATCGCGGTCCTGGCCCCGGTGCGTCAAAAGCAAAGTGAGCAAGCAAGGGCTGCGAGCGGGGCTTCAGGCAAGAACCGACGGGAAGCAGAGAGCGGCCTTTGGGCTGCTTCTCCTCGATGAGCATTCAGCAGCAGCGCCCGCGCCTCCAAGAAGCGTCTCCCTCCCTCTCTCTCTGCCTCTCGCTCCCGCTCTCAGAGACGGGACGTTTGTTTAAGAAGAAGAGAAGAGTCTCAGTAGGGCTCAGCTCGAGCCGGCCGCCAAGGCCCGAGAAGAGTGCAGGGAAGCCGCCGCCTCGGGAGACCGGCGGAGCCGGCGGGCAAGGAGCTGCGGCACGAAGACGGGGCCCTTTTTCAGCGCGGAAGTCACATGCTCTCTCCGGCCGGTCTCTCTCTCGCTCCTTTCTGCTTCTCACAGGCGGTGCCTGCCTCGCAGCAGGCGAGGAGGATGTCGGAGGCGAGGACGAGATCGTAGCGCTCCTCTCCTCGCCGGCAGCTCACAGCCGAAGTTTCAGTCTTCAAGCGACTTCCTCGTGGCCGGAGCCTGGCTTCTGCTAGGATCTTAGACCTAGGGAGAGTCGGCTTCGAGGATTTAGCACCTGACGGAACGCTCTTGACAGCTGCTCCCTGCTGCAGAGGAAACTCCTGCCATACTGAAAGAGATGTGAATCGCTCTCACCGTGGGCTCCTGCGTCGAGCTTCCAGTCCAGCACCTCGAAGCGCAGCTCAGGGTGGTGGCCGTGATGCTCCTCCCACGATCTACGGCTACGGCGTGCCGCTCAATTCCTCTCTTTGGGACCGGGGCGGGGTAGGGAGAGGGGAGGAAGGTTTCTGGCCTTGCTTGGTCTGGCCATTTAGGCGGACAAAACTCAAATCTTTGGCAGTGGACGGTCCTGCAGGGCATCCACCAGCCGAAGTTCTGCGTCCGTGATTGTCACCTGCAAGGAACTTGTTACTCATTTAGTACGGCATGCGGCATAATATGTGCAAGCTAAGACTCCACAAGCTTGTCCGAGAGTCCTTCATGAAGCTCCCAAAGTGAGGTTGCGAATCTTTTTTGCTGCGCACTTAAGCGGGCAGTACCCAGTAATTCGAAGCACGTTGCCGAAAGGATCCGGGGCCTGTGCGGCACCCAAGGCACGGCAGACGAGCGAGGGCAGGCCCACGCCAGCCCCTGGGACAAGGTCTCGCTCTTCAAACACTCAGGGAAGACAAATAGAGAGAGACAAATAGAGAGCGAGAGAGAGAGAGAGAGAGAGAGAGAGAGAGAGAGAGAGAGAGGGAGAGAGGGAGAGAGGGGGAGGGAGAGAGAGTTCCTTCACAACTCATTCAGCCCCGAGGCTCCGATCTCCAAGATCGACTTGGCCTGCACAGGAGGCTTCAAAGGGGCAGTGCTCCGCCTCCGGTTTGACATGAGTTGACACTCGGCTGAGGTCCGCCGGTTTTACGGAAGGTGGTCGGTTCTTCAGCTGCTGTCTTGCTCCCAGAAATAGAACCTTCGGAGAGCGCCTTGACCGAAGGTATCGGGTGGCCCTGCACCTGGGGCAGTCCAGCTGGATAGCTTCAGCTTAGGGTTGTGGAGTGCCGGCTCAGATTCAACCCCTCGCTTGGGCTTCAGAGCTTCCCCTTCGATCGTTCGCGCAAAACCAAAACGGACATGTTTTTTCCACAGCCCCCGCGGAGAGCAGGGGAGCACCTCGCCATCAAGCACCGCGTTTGCCAGCAGCCTGGCGAGGGTGGAAGCCACCTGAAGGCAGTGGTTGCCGATCCAGCGTGGGATTCAGGACTGAAGGGTTTTCGGCTCTGCGGTATCCTCCCCCCACCCACCCACCCACCCACCCACCCACCCACCCACACACACACACACACACGGAGA